AAACAACATACAGCCAGTAGGTCATTCTTCATCTGAACATTTTTATTATACATTCTGATTCTTAACCTTGACGGTTTTGAATAGGGCTATATAAATTTGCCTCAAGATGACATGAAATATTACTCCATCATCTTGTATACAAGTGTTTAATACCTCAGAATAGATACGGCAGGAACCCACGAGCATGTCAAGCCTATGCCTGTTCTGATCATATAAGATTTTTATTTTTAAAATGTAAAAGTTTTTTTTATTTTATGTGGATGAGTGTTTGGTTTCCATGTATGTCTATGTACTACGTGAATGCATGGTGCTGTGGAGGTTAGAAGAGGGCATTTAGTTCCCTGGGATTGAGTGACTGGCCCTGTGGGTTACCATGCAGCTGCTGGGAATTGAGTCTAGGTACTCTGGAAGAGAAGTCAGTCTTAACCGCTGATCTCCATGTTTATCACCCAAGATTTTAAAAAATTCTGCATTTTAATTCCACTGAGTGGGATAAGTTCTTTGTGATTGAGAGTGTAGTAACTGAAGGTACAGGCTGCCATGTATAATCCTCATGTACTTTTGAAATGGTGACCTAAGTAAGTCTGTTAGAAATTTTCTAAACTATTTCTCTTTGATAAGATGTATTTTAATCCATCTTAGCTCTCACTTGACACTGTTGTTAAGTTTTTATTTGCAGAAATAGGGCTTTTGATTATATATTTTCTTCTCCTGATAACATACATCTTGAATTCCTCCTTGTCTACTCCATTCTCCCAGTTCCTCACATTTCTCCCTGCCAGTTTTCCTGTTTTCACACCACTACCCCTTTCTTCCTACCTTGACAACACGGGCACACATTCTCAGTGTGTCACTCTTTGATTCTTCCCTTCCTTCTTGTTCGTCCAACACCTTTACCTTTGCTCCTGACTCTGGACTTTTTTTCAGCTTTCATGGGGAAAGGGACATTCATTTTCATCTATTTGCTATGTCTCTGTTATAGTTCCTTCCACACACTAAGTAGGAGCAAAGTGTTAGAGCACAGTAACAATGTTTCTGTATTCCTGCTCTTAGCCTGATCTTACTCAGGGCCTCATCTCCTGCTCCATGGAGATGTCCCATATCAGGGCTAAATTTCCAGTAGAATCCAAGGTGGAAAAAGGAACCAGTGAAGTTCTTCCTGGTGGAAATCCCCATTGCAGGAATGCTGAATTCATACTAAGTCTTCAGCCTTTGAATACTAGAGTCTATCTCTGCTTCTCTCAAGTGATGATTTTGTCTGTCCTGAGTGACCCAATGACTACCCTATCTGATTGTCTGTTAACACCAGTCTTCTACCTGTGACTACATTCAAAACCACCTATGTTTATATACTTTTTCAGTTTTAAACTTTCCTTTTTTCATCTATGACCCCTCCCAAAGTCTCTACTTGCTTCTCCGAGATTTCATTTCATTTCTGCTTCTTTCTAATTCTTTCTTCTTTTTCTAACCACTACATATAGGATTTTACCTAAAATTGCATTACATTTATTTATTTCTGTGTAAAAATGGAGAATGAAGCAAATAAAGACCTTGGAAGCAGGTGATGGTCACTGCACTGTTTGGACTAAGTAAAAGAAAAACAAATAAGTAAACACGTAAATTTCTTATTTTCTGTAGTCTAGAACAATGAATGGTATTAAAATGTAAAAGATAAAATAAAAACATCACCAAGAGAAATATAGAACTCACATGATATGTAGCCTATATAATCTACAGTGATTATTTTCTGGCTCTCAGGGAACAACTCGGCCGTGTTGTGCTAGAGGGCAAGGTTGAGGACCTTGGACAGTAGACAAAGGCACCACTGCAGGACCGCAGAACTAGGCAGCCAAGAGGACTAAGGGATGCAGTGCACTGCTGCTGTAGTCATTTGCCATTGTTTCCCCAATCAGTGATTTCCTGTGTTCCTCCCTTTTCCATGTGGGGGTGGGAGGATCAGTGTGCTTATCCCATTTCCAATTTCTATATGGAGAACAAATAACTTGTCATAGCTTACTCTCTCCACAGGTTTCTAAGGACTGAAAATACTCATTAGACACCATGTCACTTTGGTATTATGGAGTCCAAGTTGGGTATAAAGTCACAATGGACTTTGGGTTACCTCCCTGTGGTGCCTTTAGTCAGAACGGCCCCCTAGGCTCATATGTTTGAACACTTGGTCCCCAGTTGTTGGAACTGTTTGGAAGGATTGGGAGGTGTGGCCTTGTTTTAGGATATGTGTCATGGGAGTGTGCTTTTTCAGTGTGCACTATTTCTCTCTGCCTCATGCTTGTAGAGGCAGATGTAGGCTCTCATCATGTACCCAGGTGACATGACTGCCTCTTTGGCTGGAGAGATTATTGAGTACAAGTCAATGTCTATTTTCCACTTCTTTATTTTACATGGCAGGCACCTGGTGCCAGGTTTCCTCCATGGGAGTCATGGAATCCAACACTCTGGAACTGTGTGCTTCAAATTAAATGTTTTCTTTTATAAATTGCCTTGGTCATGGTGTTTTATCACAGCAATAGAAAAAGAATCAGGAAACTCCCTTAGGTAGGGGCTGACTGTTTGCTGTAGAAAGAAGTGAGAACATGGATATTGATTGGCTAGAGGAATTACTGAGTGAAAGCCAGTGTCTGTTTCCTACTTTTTAATTTGGTATATTGAATCCTCTGTGGTTTTTCTGGGCATAATTGCATAGATAGATTATTTTCCCCACATTTCTTGTAGCTATAATTTGTAACAAATTATAAAGTATGACATATAAAGTGAAAGTAATAACCCATGTTTGAAGTTACAACTTAGAAAAAGATGTTCCCTGTGAATATTTTATCCTTCCCATCTGTTGAAAAATGTCAGTCTGGAGTGACCATGAGATTTACAAGTTAAGATGGTGAAATTTTCACACTAGCTCAAAATCCTTCAGTAAATGCTACATGATAAAATTATTATCTCATCCATCTCATCCAAAATGCTTTTGTTATTTTCTCAAATAATACAGTGTGTGTGTGTGTGTGTGTGTGTGATCTGTGTGCTCAGTGTATGTACATTTATACATATACCTGTCTTTGTGTACATGTGTGTGGAAGTCAGGGATCAATATCAGGCATCTTCCTCATTTGCTCTACATTTTTTTTTGAGACAAGGCCTTTCCCTGAACCTAAAGTTTTCTCATTTGCCTGGGCTGGTTGGTGGTGAGTTCCAGACATCTGCCTGTCTCTGCTTCTCCATAGCTGGGATAACAGACATGTGTTGCTGGGCCTGCTATTTTATTAGGATGCTGGGATTCAAACCTAAGTCCTCATGTTTGTGTGGCAGGCACTTTGTCAACCGAACTGCATCTCTAGCTTGCTAATATAACTTTTGTCTTTAGGCCTTCAATAATACTTTGTTTTTTTTCTTATAACATTTATTATCTTTTGATTATGACCATTTTATACTTCTCTCTATAAGTAGATCTGTATTCTTTAGAGGGCAGGCAGGTTTAAGTGTACATTTGAGTTGTAGTTTTACAAACAAGCTTGAATTTCATAAATCATCAAATAAATATTTGTCTAATTTGCATGACTATTTGTCATTCTCTCTATACATACATACATAGTATGTACATATGTTCTCCAACTGAATGACTATGTCAATTATTGGGATAATGAACCTAATTCAGTAATGTTTTAGAATAAGATGATAGGAATATTTGCATATGCCTTACACACCATTTTCTGCATTGTGGTGTCTTATCAGCCGCCAGTGATGGATATCATTGGTGATATTTTGGTTTCTTAAATGCACCAGATTATATTGCTTTGATTTTTTTATATGTAAAGGTGGCAGCTTCAGATTATATCATGGGTCTTCTGAATAATAATTTATGTACATCAAAAGAACAGTTTTTAAAAGTGTCTTTAGACCGTGTGTTTCAACTGAGATTATGAACCTGACATTTGGATCCAAGGAATTCTCAGTTTGGAACTTGGTTTTGTCAAACACTACCTGTGTAATCCTAGGGAAAGACTTAATGTTTCTAATACTCTTTTTGTGTATAAAACTAACAAAAGAGCATCTAATTTACAGAGTATTCAAATGATTAAATTACATAAAATATATAGATAACCTTGTGGTAAATCATAGATATTATTTTACCCACAACATTTTGGTATGTACCACTAAAAGACAAATCTTGCAAAAACACAACTAGAAATCATTATTATGGCCCTCTAAATTGACAATTACTAAGACCAAGTAATCACAGATTTTGAATTTTTTTGCCATTCATAAAAATGTTGTTTCAATAGTTAGCATTTGGGGAAATATTATAAATCACATATTGTGAGAATATATCAGGTAATTTGAAAACAAGCAAGGCTTTTAAACTTCTAGCCTCACAAAGTGAACATATTATTCTTTTATATATGTGGAACAAAACATTCCACATCTTAGTGACTTGGGTTATGACAATTTGTCAAGATGTACATGTGGAAAGTTCCTGCCAGAGATCACAGCTGAGATTTGGAGCTGAAATCCCTGCACGTTGTTCCTTCTGTTTAAATAATTCAGCTTCTGGCTGCTGTGTATGTGGTTCCATCAGTCCTCAGCCTCTCTAAAGATGACATTGTAGATACTGTTAGCTTCTCCTGGCATACCTCTGCCATTGGCAAGATTAAAGTTTAAAAATGATTATCAGCAGTTACATTTTGAACTTGCTGCCTCTACTCCAAGTAAGAATCTTATTTTGAAAGATTTCTGACTTTGGTTCATTGTTCCACCAATTCGCATATCTGTTCAGGTAGCATGTGGGTTTATATATGCATTTGTGTTGCTTAAAGAAATGCTAAAACATCAATCAAATTAGCTAAAAATTTATCCGGTAACCTTTAAAATTCAAGCCTGTTTTTAAATCTACAAAGTCCAAAATGTGAACTAGCCATTTCCCTCCCCATTGCCCAACCCTCCCACCCTTTGGGCACTTACTGCAAGGATAGCCGTGGTGGACTCTGGGATGGAATATATAGGCCATGGATGTGGCCTTGTCTCCCTAGGAGCTCATCCCCTCACTGGGGAGAAAAAAAACTCATGTAGAAAATGACAATAAAAGCCTCACAATTGTAAGGCAAAGACCTGACAGAATTCCTAAGCTCTGATGGGGTACAGCCACCCAGCAAGACCAAATCAAGTCGGTTTAAATGAAAAGGGCTTTGTAATAGGGGATCTCCAATTCAGTTTGAAGGAGTTGATAGACATGGATTTGAGTTGAATGAAAAAGACATTCTAGGTGAGAGCAAAGACAGTATCAGCAATATGGAATCATCAATTGGGATTGAGTTTCAGATGAGAGGGCCTTTTATTAAGTTTATATTGCATTAATTTGAAGCAAAAGTAGAAATCCATGAATGGATAGAAGTTATGCAAAATTGTAAAAACATCACTTTACTATTACAGGACTTTTCAAATGTGTGTCTACAGGAGTGATTGTTGTGTAGAAATGATGATCTGGAAGCCAAGATGAGGCCATCATAATAGCCTCCAAAATGAAAAATGCATAACATCTGGGTAACGTGTGCAGCATGGAGGAATCAGACAAATTCTAGTTTATGTGTATTATTTGGTAACTGATAGGATTTTCTTTACTCATCCTGGAAGTAGATAAGTAATGGAGCCCTAGATATGTTGAGTTCTGGGTGTGAATGTAATTCAAGTGCATGCAAAGAAGTTATGAATTACTGTTTATAAATAAAAAGAAAGGATAAAAGTGTGCATTATACATTTGGTAATTCATCTGACATTTGAAATCAAAATCTGTTTATATGAAAATGCCACTTTTTCCAGTTTGTTGACCAGAACTTGAAATTAAATAAGAATCAATGTGTAGTATCCTTCTTACATTAGGACCTACTGCTAAAACTCATCAATTATAAATAAGTTGTTGCTCAAATCTGACTTCTTCCCCATGAAATGGTTTTAAATGTGTGTTTAATGATTTCTTTAACACTAGCTTTAAATATTCCATGGCAGAACGTTTTAGTCTTTGTATGGTTTGTATGTAGAAATTTAACAAATAAATACATATAGAAGAAAAATAAGAATTTTTCCTGCAACATTAAATAACTATTATGTCTGTGGATAGCTAATCTTTAATTACTCTTTCAAATATCACACTTTGTATACATAAATTGCAGCAAGGTAGATATTTTAGAAACTGTGGGAAAATGTTTCAAGAAAGAAGTTATGAATTACTTTGTGTGTCAAGTTTAATGCTTATGATTCGAATTCATATTTCTCATAATTTATTCTCTTCTTCATTTCACTTGACTGATATGCTGCGAGTGCTGATTGGCCTCCAGTAATCAGAAGCATTTGTGTGGGATGTCAGCTGTGAGGTAAGTAATCTGGAAGGAGAAGTTTGTGTGCCTGCTTTTTTCTGGGAGAAGATGCAAAAGCCCTTAGGTTTGCAGGCAGCCATGTCTGTAAGACAGAGGCTTTGGCCAGAAGAGTTATAGGTTGTAGTGTTGCAGTAGAATTGAGTTATTGTCAAAATGCCATAAAAAGTACTACAGAAGTAAGAAGTCTGTTGTACAAGGTATTTTAAAGGACAGATGTTTTCTTTCTCAAAATGTTAGAATCTGGAATTCTAAGGTTAATTTCAAACTATGGCAGAAGTGAATTTTCCAGAAACTTTCTCCTTGATGCCCATCTTCTTGCTGTGTCCGTGTGTGTGTGTGTGTGTGTGTGTGTGTGTTTATTTCCTCTTTTTAAAAGTGCCCCAGACATGTTGGATTAGGGATGACCCTAGTGACATTATTTTAACTTTCCTTTAGCAAATGCATCTCCAAATACTTCGTTCTGAGGTGCCAGGGTTTAAAGTTTTTCCTATCAATTGTGGGTCACTTAATTCAGGCCCAGAGGGTCTCTGAATCCCTTTGATGTGTGTTTGCTTGCTTGATCTCTGTGAGAACAGGGATCCTGTCTTTTAAATCTTTTCATCCACAACATGTAGAAAGGTTTGAGTACATAGTAGGCATTTAACATGGTTGCCTTTTGAATTATATCCTTCCTACAGCATAATTCACATTAGATTTTTTAAAGCCTACTTAAAATATAAATTTTGCCCTGAGATTAAATGACCAAGAGCCTTGCTATCATTTATTGCATGCACCAATGATCTGTGCAGCATTTCCTCTGGTGCCTTCCTGAGCTGGCAGGAGCCAGCCATTCATTTAAATTGGCAACAGACATGGAAATGAATTTGTGTGCTGTCTTACTTGGTAATAAAACTCAAAGTGCAGTGTAATTTGTGATGGTTTGAAGCAGTAATGCAATTTTGGCAAGTGTGCTATATCTCTACAAGACTTACTGTTTGAAGATTTTCAAATCAGTGGGCTATAGACTCTCTTCCTAAAAACAATTGATTAAAGCCGTCTTCTTCTGGACTTGATCCAATCTCCATTAGAAATAACTAAGGCATAGGTTACATTCTTTTTTTAGTTGAGGTTTTCCTGACCAGGTGTAGCTAGCCTGTATATCTAACATTTCCTCTGCTTTGTTTTTATAACAGGTATACCTTTCTTTCCTATTTGAAGGAATTGAAGATAAGAATAATGTCCATGCAAGTCGCATATTTATTGGTGCAGCAAAGGAACTACACTGTGACCCAAGGGGCAAAATGGTGGGGAAAATGACATAAAACCATTTCATCTTTTCAACTTTCTCTATGGAAATAATCCTCATAGTCTTCGGTATGTAAATAAGAAGCAGTTGGATGCCTGTATGATAGATTTGATAGCCTTTCAATAGCTAGTTCTACTTGGAATTTTAAAACTAGGGATGTAAATATTCCTACATGAAATTTCACTCAATCCAGAATTTATTTCAATAAAGTGAATTCTAAAAAATAAAAACTCTTGGTCATAATATAGGTTTTTCTTAAATGATTACACTGCTTTCTATTGTGTTCATGCCTTTATAATGATCACTCTTAAAATGATTTATGTCTTAGAGTATCCAACCAAATTTACTAGAATCCGTCCTTTACTGCTGGATAAAATATATTAGGCTCCTATGACATATGCTTGTGTTCATCAGTGGGGTAGATTTATGAGCTGCCCTGTGGGAGCAACTTACAGAGACAGAGTAGATCTGTTAGGAGTCTCTTCTGGGAGGTTTACAAGAGAGAGTTGGCAAATATTACTTGATTTAATTGGACTCATAAACAGCTATCATTATATCTTCAAATGGCTTGCTTTATTGGGGGGGAGGGGACTATGTAGTTATAATTTTGTTAGGTACAAGAAAGTGATTGATACATTTTCTCCCTTCCAGCTGCTCAGCTATTTACTTAGTTTATTCCTTCAACTTTCTGCCCCTGCTATCAACAACTTTATCCTTTCAACTCACCTCATAACTTGCATGAGAAGACACATCGGTGAAGAATTTAACCACTTCAGTTGCCATCCCTTCCTTTTTCCTCCCATATCACATTATGTAAATGGCTGTGGTACAATTTTAAACTATCCTGTAAAAATAGTACTAATGAGAAATTCTCAATTTAAACCTTGGCCAGATCACAATTCTAACCTTGTGTTAATTTTTTCAATAGCCTTAATTTCACTTGAGCATGCCTTTATCAGAGTTAGTTATTTACTTTCCTCCTGTTTCACATTAGAAAAAAGCAACAAACAGTAAACAGAGGTGATGAGATATGAACTATAATACTTTCATATTTGACCATCTTTATTTCCTGCTTATCTCAAAGAATAAGGTCTTCTGACCCATCCCTTTGGTGCAAGCATTCTTGCTAAGTTCTCAATGACCTCTTGTTTTCAAATCCAGAGGAGTGATTTGTCATCTTACTTGGCCTGTGGGCTGTGTGTAAACTATTGACTTCTAAAGCATTCTAACTTCCTGCCACAGTTTCTTACTTCTCTTCCTTTCTTTGCCCTCAACTGTTTGCTTTCACCTGACTATTCCCTCTCCTATCTAGTGCTGAGATAACCACATATTTAGCCATGGTTCCAAATATACATGTGGCAAGGAAAATATTTTTGTAGCATTAACTACAACATTCTCATTTTCACACAAAGTTATAAGGCTTGCTCTGTTACACTGAATTTTGCGGAAATCATTTCCTTCATAATAAGGAAGATTCATGATAATCTCCAAACATTTCCAATTATGAAACATGTAGATCCAGAGAATGACACAGTTTTCTGAGGACCCACTCTCATCTTCTGGTATGATGCCACATGAACACTATATCCCATGAGTTATAAAGAAAGAGTTAAAGAACAGGCAGCTATACAGGAGCCCACAGAGGTAATAGTAACTGAGCAATTTGTGGTTGGAAATTGTTTGAAATCCTGCAGACAATGTTATTGCTTCCACATTATACCTGCTGCCTTGACTCATGTAGAAGTCATGAATAAAACCAGTATAGAACAAATAACTTAATTCTATGTGTTCATTTAATTATCCAATTACTCTATGTACACACACACACACACACACACAGAGAGAGAGAGAGAGAGAGAGAGAGAGAGAGAGAGAGAGAGAGAGAGAGAGAGAGAGAGAGAGAGACTGTTTTCTTCCATTCTATAAGCCAGTTCTCAATTTTTTCTAGCTAGAATCCTGTCCTGTTTGGGCAAATTATATGTCTCAGACAATGGCATAACAATACACACACCAGTGACATATTGTTCCCTGGATTGTTCTTGGATGTGATTTGCTGTCTCTTGTGACAAACATTTGCATTCAAGCTATAAGGCATGTTTACTCTTCTTGAATGCAGGAACATAACTATAGACCCCAACTGGTAAATTTATATGTTCAGTGCTGTCCTCAGTGGACCCTGAATCTGGATATGACCTTCTGCCTTGCTTTCATAGTATGTTCCAGGAAATTATGTTTAAATTGCTTTAACCTGCAAAAGTTCTGGGAAAGGGCTGCTCGGTTAATATGTATTACATGCTTACCGACACTTATTTACATGTTTTTCTGATCATGATTTTCTGAACTCATACAACCTTCCTTGGTCCACTGCTTTCTTTGTTTCATTCCTGAATAAAAGTACACTGAAAGTGAAATAAAGTTGTCTACAACATTAGCCTGTAGTTCACCCCATTTTTTAAGGTCTTCAAATTCGGGTCACGAAAGCAGATCTGTACAGGTCCATGAGACAGTAACCACTTTTGACTGGTCATAATACAGACGCAAGGGTGTTGCAGAACAGGGCAAGGGGACAATATTTCTCTCTCACAAAAATGTGATCATTGTTGCCGGGCGGTGGTGGCGCTCACACCTTTAATACCAGCACTCGGGAGGCAGAGGCAGGCGGATCTCTGTGAGTTCGAGGCCAGGCTGGACCGACAGCCTCCAAAACAAAACAGAGAAACCCTGTCTCGTAAAAGCAAAAAAAAAAAAAAAAAAAAAAAAAAAAAAAACTGTGATCACTGTCGAGTGCTTGGAGGAAAGTAATAGAAGGAAAGCAGGTTTCTATGAAGTTTCGCCATGAGGAACAGAATAAAGCAAATTCTTCGAGATGTATTTGCAATAATGGAATGTAAATCAGACATAGTCAGTGACTACTGCAAAGGGGTGGAATTTAGCGAGACAGTACTCTGATCTTCAATGAATGAGAAAAAATTGATGGGGCACAATATTTGCCTATGTTAAATACAAGTGATGACACAGCTGTCTTTTGTATTAGCTAATGCATAATTCACTGTGCCAGCAGATTTCATAAATAAAAATATTAAAAAATGATATTGAATTATTTAGTAATCACAGCTTTAAAGATAATTACCTACAATTACTGTTAAACAATGGTTATAACACTTATCATAACATTTGGCTGACAGGTGCTAAATAAAAAAATGTATGCAGTGTGAATAAAGAAATAAGCTTTTAAAGTTTGGGAAGGGTATGAGATTCAGGAAGGCTGTTTCCTTTCCCAGGGTAATCTGATGTGCAAAGGCAACATTTTTTCCCCATGAAGACCTGGTTTTGAAACTCAGGGTGACCTATCACTTATATGACCTCAGAAAGTTTCCCTAAGCTATTCCTAAAGTATTCCTTAGGAGAGAGATTTATGAGAATGGGACTGAGACATTTAAGCTAATATTCCTTTCATAGTTCTCTTATTGAGATGAGACTATAAATTGTTCCCCAACACTTTCTTTTTATTAAGGTACCCAAGTGGCTAGAAAGACCATGGTCCCTTAGAAAAAGAATGCTGCATTTTACAGTCACATATTTATTTTATTAGGGTTATTTTAAAGTTAATTATGTAGATTACTTAATATAAACTGACTCAAGTTATCTAAATTGGTGCCTTTGTTTCACAGGAACGTTCCTGATAGAATTCCCCAGGAACAACACAAAAGTCTAGCTTAAACAGACTCAAATGAGTACGCTATTCCCTTTGACTTCCAGAGAAGCAGAAGCACCTCTTATTGCTGTGATGTAGCTTCTTCTTTCAGAGAGCATGCCAGAACAGGGAAGGGCACATGGATTTCAGAGTCCAACTTCCTCCTTCAAATACTTAAGATTCAATAACTACCAGCATGAGAATTCTCATATGTTAGCAATATACCATGAACTAAAATACGGAAATTTCCCAAATTAAGTGAAGAAAATCTTCTGTCTTTAAAAACCAGATTAAACCCTCATTTTTCTGCTTAATTTTCTTGCTTCCCCCTTCTCTCTCTCCCTTCCTGTCTTTCTTTTCTTTCTTTCCTTCCTTTCTCCCTTCCTTCCTTCCTTTTATTCCTCCCTCCATTTATTCTTTCCTTTTCTTCCTCTATCCCTTTCTTCTTCCTTCTTCAGCCTCTCAAGGAATTGGGACCATAATATTATGACTTGCTAAGATCCAATTTCTTTGCCATTCTAAGGTTTACCAGGCAAAGGCAAATAGTACATAATGATTCTTACTTGGTTTTGACACACAACAGAGTGCTTGACTGAGCTTTGACTCAGTGGCTTGCATTGTCATTTACATTGTCCCAAGGCCACCCATATAACCATCATCAAAATGTCTACTTATGCCAGGACCTTATGTGAATGTGCGTCATGGCCACATAATTCCTGCATATATGGAGTGTGTCTATGTAAGCTCCCATATGCATATGCTCAGTGATCTTTAAAACCAGACCCGCCTTACCCACTTTCTCTCTTGCCATGTTTCTTGGAGCAGACCTGTGCAAACCACCTCTCCCTACTCCTCACTAATAAATGTCTTAAAGTGGGTTTTGTTGCATATCTTGTGGTCTGTTCTCACGCACGGTAAATAACAGCCCTAATGATCTGGAGTCAGAGCAGAAACTGTGTCAGTGTCTTGCTTCCTTGCTATTGCTGTGATAAGATACTATAGTCAAGACAGTTTACAAAACAAATTTTTAACTGGGCTTACTTTACTCAGAGTATTGGAATCCACGAGGGTGGAGCAGTGTCATGGTGGCAGAAACAGCTGACAGCTCACATCTGGGACTAAAGTACAAAGCAGAGAGCATACTGGGAATGATAGTCTTCTGAAATCTCAAAGCCTATTCCAGGGACACTCTTCCTCCAGCAAGGTCACACCTCTTGATCTCCTCTGTCAGTTACCAACTGTTGCAGATTGAAGGGGGTACCTCATGCAAAGCAACACAGGCAGGTACGTGCTGACACTAGAAAAGGGAGATAAAGAGAAACCCGTGCAGGCTCTCTTTTGCAAACGGTAGCAGAAACAGAATTCTGATGCTGGGATAGTGGCCAAATACACTTTTTATATATATTTATGTGCACCTTTTATCTTCATTTCAGATGTGGAAAAGAGTAGATACATAAGATTGCATATAATAACTGAAAGTGTTTGCCAATTCTCCCTTTTATGCCTGCAGGTGACATTTACCCAGGATCCATCATTCCTTAGTGTCTTGTTAGTATTGACAAACAAAACAGGTTGTCTGTGTGGAGAAATCCACCAGATTTCTGAAAATTCCCACAGTCTTACTCATTGAACTCGTCCTCCACAATGCTCATTCAAAATAGAATTCTTTTTTTTTGTTCAGGACAGGGTTTCTCTGTATTGTTTTGGGGATTGTCCTGGAAGTCACTCTGGAGACCAGACTGGCCTCGAACTCACAGAGATCCACTTGCCTCTGCCTCCCAAGTGCTGGGATTAAAGGTGTGAGCCACGAATACCTGGCTCAAAATAGAATTCTTAATGTCCCTGGAGATAAACAAGAGTGCCAGAGAATTCTAAGACAAATGGAAAGATTATCACAAAAAGCGACCACCAGAAGGCTAACAGTGGTTTTCTTTTATTATTTTTCAACTCTTTTCATGACCCTGGATAAAGTATTACTTTAAAGCAATATAATACTTTAGTAATGAGAAAAACAAATGTAATTGACAGTCCTCCACTAAGGTTTTAATTGGGATACCTGAATATCACTGTCATGGCATATTTTTCTTAGATATATGGTCTGCTCCTTGGGAAAGTCCACATTGTCTTGCAGATGGCAGGATAAATCTGCATTTGAAGGCAAGGGAGGACCCCTGAACTGATTCCTCCCACAGAGACCCAGTAACTACTCTTCCCAAGCATTCTGCTCTGTGTACCAGCATGTTTATTCTGGAACTTGCCTTTTTCCAGTAGCATCTATTTCCAGAGACCTAACTTTCCCACAGCAAACTGCACCAAAGTCATGTTTCTGTTTATCAGTGGACTTTTTCTGGACTTCGCCTTGTCTACTCTGCTGGCAACCCACAGTTCTTCATGACAACTGAGAGCAGAAAGAAGCTTGGACTGTTACCTGACCACGCAAGAAGTCACACAGTTGTTCATAATAAGATGATTCTATTAATGTAAGTTTATTTACAGTTATAATAAAATTAATTGATTTTACGGTCTTGCATTATGAAAGTTAATATTATCCATCTCTATCTCTATTGAGAACTCTCAAATGGGACCTTTATGTAAGTTTCCATCTCCATTTCAGGCAATGGGACACAGGTTCAAACAGTTGAAACAGCAGGTACAATTGTACCTCTGTCATAACTTTTAACAAGTATCCTTTTTATAGACAGAAGAAAACTTTAATGTATCAACATGAACCTGAACTGTGCCCTTGAAATGTTTTAGAAAGATGTGCCTTTGAGAATTGAAATGAGGCAGAATCCACGATTAACTACTTAATATGTAAATTATCCTCTCTCTTGTACCACCTGTAATGACTGCTGACTGGTATTAATGAGATGGCAGTTAGGTAGGAAACAACGGTGCCCTTTCAAAGCCATAGGTGGTAGCTGCACACTGATTTATGATCTAAGGCTTATCTTACTCCATTATCAGCATCAGTTGACAAGCCTCCCTTCCCCCACATGTCTACTGCTTCACATTTAACAGCTAAGCTGTTCTCCACACCCACAGTACCATTTGCTTCTGTGCAAAAATCTAGTCCC